TCAGAATCATGAACAAACCCTGATTTGATCCCTCATAAGTTACTCAAGGCTGATTGTAATAAAAATCGATTTTTCGACAATCATTTATCGGTACCCTGACTTGAGCAGGTTTTTTTTTTTAAGGTTTCCCACAGGAGTTGAACTTCAACATTTTAAGGCATGTTATTACACACCTTTACAAACATATTGGTGAAGAAATTGTTTGGTAACGATTTAGTTGTCAGATTTGGGAAATATCTCATAAAATGCCCTTACTATTGCTACAAACATCAGGATCTCCAACAGACTTTAAAAAAAACAAGGTGTATGGTGTTTGAATAAAGCTTAAACAAACTATTTTTTTTGTAAATATAGGCACAATCGTGTGCGCATCATAGTTTCAGAGGTTAAAGTGAACCAGTTTCTGGCTTAGCTCAGGAAAAAACAAGACAAACCTGATGGTGACATTTAGGTGGAAAGCTGTGGTTTTAGTCGGGGTCGTGTTTATTATAAACTGTCCGGCCAGGTTGGCAGGAAATACTTTTTTTAGAGTTTTTTTTTTTTTTTTTCTCAGTCGGGTATGTTGCAAAAAGCCCCAAAGCTCTTTGGTTAATTGCTCTGAATTTTTAAAGCAAATGATTTTTTACTGCACTAGACAGTAAAAACTGAACACCTCTTTGTTCTCAATTTTAAAAAGATTATTTTTACTTTACCTAAAAAAAAAAAAAAAGGAAAAGCGCTTTTTGAAGCTTCTTTACCTGGTTACATCCTAGTGCAGTAATTATTATTTTGTTGTGAAGCTCCCATTAGCTAAAATTATTATTATTTTTTTTTAAACCCTCTGAGTTTGCAGAATGTTAACAAACTAGTTATTCCTTAACCTCTCTGGTTAAACACAACCAGAAGCATGGGAGAAAGAGGGCAAGGCTAAAGGCTAACTGGTAAACAAAGCCTTACCCATTTCAATGCAGATAAATCAACAGTTACCTTTAGAATGTAAGCTCATTGTTATTTACAGTTTTGTTTGGTTGGAATCAATTGCTCTCGTTAGCCAAAGATGCACTCTAAAGTGCATTGAGTACATTGAGTGTCTGAACGTGCTATCGTTTCCAAGTCACTGAATGAGGTTTTGGATATAGTTTTTATTGATAACATTACGAGACAGAGAGAGTTATTTTCTTTTCTGGGTTTACTTACGTTAGCTGCTGTATGTTATTTCTATGTTTCATATGTAGCAAAGGTTGCAGGTCCTTGAAAACAGAATTATGAAAAGTGTTTAATTTAGATTTCAAAACTTTGCGATTAAACCTTCATTTGCTCTCTCTGTCTGTGGTCCACATGAAAATGAAAATGAAAGATTTCCTAAAAATGAAGTCTGTTTTTTAGCTGCAGTGCACACCTCGGGGCAAGAGGGCTTTTATTCACCTGCGCATAAACAAATGTGAAGAGTTCTACAGGAACGTCAAATGTAAAACTACCAATTGATCGATCAGTTCGCTGCTGTTGTTTCTCTTTCTATAGGAGTCGACGGGGAGTCCAGCAGTGGCAGAATGAAGCTGCCATGTTGGAGTCTGGGGATCTGCGTTCTTCCAGGATTATTGGCCTTCTGTTTTATGTGCGTGGTCGGATTCTACCTGTGCTCAGGTGTGTGGTTGGTTTTTTTATCTTTGTGCTTTCTTTCACTTCTACGCTCAGCCAACACTTTATTCAGTACACCTCTAGTGCAAAACAACAGCTCAGCCGTGGATTTGATCTTCATGAAGTGTCATTAAATCTGAGGTCAAAGGCAGTGAAGCACAATGCTTTATACAATTAGTAGAACTTTTTACTGCAGAACTTTTACTTTTAATCAAGTATTTAATAGTAATTCATCACACTGATAATTCAGTGTCTTACCAATGTCTGCTATTTATAGAGCTGTATTGCCCCCTATTGGTAGGCTACAAGAACTGCCACATTGCCCACACAACTAACTACAAGATTCAACTTCAGAATCAATTGTGCAAATATACTCGTATTACAAGTTTTTTTTTTTATGGTGCATGCAAAAGAGTGGAATCCTGTTTTATAATTTTTTAAACCGAATGGTGCACGGTGAGGTACTTACACTTGCAATTTACTTGATCTTGCTGAATTTATTGTCCACTACTATTTATTGAGTTACACTGCAGATTATAATAACTAATCCAAATATAATCACCTTAAAACTTGCGCTGCTGTTTCATAAATTCAACAACCAACATTCAGCTGCATCATTGAAGATGTACTTGTTGACTAGCAGTTTTGCATGACAAATAATTTTAAGTTTGGTATTTTGAATATACTTAATGCTAATGCTTGCAAACTTTTATATAAGTAAAATTTTGAATGCAGAAGTTTTTCGCTTGTTTTTGCGCTGTGGTTTGTATGCTCTGTTTGAACATGAGTAGTAATCCTACAAAACAACAAAATCAAACACTAAAAGGAACATCTAAACAGCTGGTGATATTGATAAAGCAGAGGATAATCGGCTGTTGAAGAATGTAGTTTTGAGGTGTGTCATGTTTAAACTCAGGTTCAACACTGTCATGTATGAAAACAAGGTTAACCGGCTCTGGCAGTTTGGCTTTCCAAATTCAATAAAGTTTTAAAAAAGAAATAGTGAGCTGTGAAGGCATATTTGCTTTCTGAATATTAAATGCAATAAAAGGCAGCGTTAAGCAACACAAAATATGTTTACAATTTTTAAAATTAGTTTTATACTTTTTATTTAAAAGATTTTAGAATTTATAATGTCAATAATTCCAAATATGAAAAAAAAAACTCATTACAGTTTGTCATAGTGTCAAATAAGAGATGACCATCACACCAGGATCTACACTCTCTCCCTTTAGATTCATTCATATGTTGGTACACACATACATTAAAAACATGCAAGAGAAGCAGGAAGAACTGATTGGCCCTCCATTAGGGAGCTGTAGTCCTTTCAGCTGAATGGACTACAGACACTTAATCATAAAGTCTATGAGAGAATTCTTTAAAATTACAAACAATTGCAATGAATAATAAGTAATGATGCTATGAAAAACATCAGTACAGTGCCATCATAACTCATAGCAACATTTTCATCCAGTGTGGCAATAAATCAAATCCAGATCATCGCCTTGGTGCAGATTAAGCCATTTGATTTCCTGATATATGTACTGTTAGAGTAATAAAACCACCACAGACAAGTTGACATCATATTTCAGTTATGTGCAATAAGGAATAAAAACTAGGTAAATACATTTTGGTATGACTAAATATCAATAGATGGCAGCATAAGTCAACCTGTCAGATTCAACGGGCTTTAAACACTTCTACTTTTTGCCTAATTTTGTTTTTCCACAGTTACACCTTGCTGCAGTTACAACCGTCAATCTTACAATCATAGTCCTTCAGTTAGACTGATATGTGCAGAGCTTCTTAAAAACAAAACTCAATATACAGCAACATAAATTCCCTAAGAAAAAATGTGCGTTTTAAAGCAAATTGGAAATTGAAAATTGCTTGAGCAACTCAAGCACTGTACTTAGGTCCAATTGTTGAGGTACTTGTGGTTTACTTGGGCATTTCCATTATGTTGTTCCAGTAAACACGATTTTTCAAAACAACAAACAAAACCATGAAATCATTTTTTTGTGAGGTTTTATTGTTAATAATAAGTAGACGTCAGGAAGAATTTGCTAAAGAAGTGGGTTAATAAGTATCCTGGTTCACGCCGCCTTCAGCAGCAGCCCGTACGGACGGATGGACTCCTGCACGATGGCCCTCTTTTGGACGTCGTTGCATTCTTCCGGGACGTACACCAACCAGACATTATCTCTCTGGCACTTCACCCTTTTGTCCGGGTTGATGCGGTTCTGAAGAACCACTTTGTACGTCTTCCCGTCCACTTTGGACTTGAATGTCTTGCAGTGCTTCTCCGCCATCTTGATGTCCGGTGTGGAGTACGCGCCCCTGCCTCTGGTGCCCTCGGCGACCACGGCGGCGGCAGCTGCATCCAGAAAAGCCGGCTCATCTTTGGGGTTCCCTTCATGAGTCAGGATGATGCCAAGGGAGCCGTCCATGTTGTATCCTTGGTAGGAGACGGGCCAGGCGTCATTCCCCGTCCCTAGCCAACCGTCCCCGCCATCGTACTTCTTGATGACGCGCAGGGCGACCCGGTTCCACCCACAGGGACGAACGTACTGCTCGTTGCCACGCAGGAACGTCTTGTCGCCGTCCTGGAGGTCAGCAGAGGGGTTTAAAGTTAGAGATGAAAGAAAAAAATGGTTTTCTGGTAGAGACCAAAGTGTGTCTGGTATGGAAACTAACAAGTACTGCATGAAAGCCTTATTAGTGCTGTTTCTACTGTAGGAACTCAGGCAGGTGTGAGGTTGTAAGAACATTCATAGGAACAGCTTCCTAATTGGCCTATTTGGTCTTTGTGTTTGGCAAATTGCTTTTGGATGTAACTCCAGTTCTATGTAGGAAATAGAACAATGGAGGTTTGTTAGCCTATACGGTGAACTGTACATTGTTGTTGGTGATCCTACACATAAAAAAATCATCTCTTGACAAGGACATAGAAAAGGAAGAAAAATGGTGTTTGTTGGGCTCTCCAAATGTAACCAACCAGCATTTGTCTTCGAACTTAAACAATTAGGGTCAGGAGCTGCACAATAGTTTTTCAGGACCAATGGAGGATGTACATTTTTTTCCATCCCACAAATGACCCTGAAAGAGCTTCTACAGGTTCCTGTGACTGGAACAGGCACAAAGGCTACGAGTTCCTACAGTGAAAAACAACCTATCCATATTCTTAGTCTTATATTCTTTGATGAGACATTTCCTTTTTAAATCATCATGTCATATTCACCTTTGACAGTTCAGTGAAGCAACAGCACAAAATACAATGAACTCTAAACCAGTAGTTATTGTATTAACACCAACTTTGTCCTGGTATTAATGTTAATCCACTGACTAATCATTCTGCAGCTCAGTGGCAGACAAACATAAAACATGGCCATAAAATCTGATATAAGGCGTGTGAGCTTTGAGCAGATAAACCAGGCCTCACCTTTATGTTGGTGAAGTCGTAGTCGAACTGCGGATGAAAGAAGTCTTCAGGGTTTATCTTCACTGTGGTTCTGAGGCTCTGCTCAGGGCCTGCGGTCAGCGCTGGGGGGGAGCTGTACATGTCCGCCTCGTCCATGTCCTGCAGGGATAAAGTCCCTAAGCTGGGATACTCCAGCTGTTTGAACCCCTGCTGTCTGTAATACTCCTTTAGGGCCACGATGTTGACAACATCCTGCGGGCTGAGCTGGGAGGCTCCGGTAGTGGACTCGACATTGCAGCCAGAGAGAGCTGAGAGAGCCTCCAGACACAGCTTAGGGTCCGGCATGTTGCTGAAAGAAAGGCAGTAAACGAGGAACTTTACCCCTCCTTCAGTCTTCTTTTTATCTTTTCTGAGTTTGCAGAGTTTTTCTGGAAGAGCCTGTAGAAAAGGAAGAGCTCACTTTCTGTCGTCTGCTCCGGCAAAACAGCTTGCCCTATTTTCTCTGTCATACTTTCACTTTCATTTATATTTCCTGTAAGTCAGAGCCTGGTCTGGAATCAGGGTGGAGTTTCTGTTAGAGCAGAGATTGTCTGGTACCTCTTTGATTGTATAAGATTAGATCATTCCAAGATTTAAGAGAAATCAGCATATGGGATTAGCATATTATTAAAGCAAGTTAGTAAAGTTTTGTTTAAAAAATAACAGTTACAACTGAGAAACAGATTGTATGTCCTTTTCAAAAATGTTTTCTCAGTTTCTTCTGTGATTTTTTTGGCTGTGGTTGTCCACTTCATACAGGTTTCATGCAAATTGCATTAAAAAAATTAGAATTCTTTTGTCCCAAAGGAAACAAGACATGCTTTTTTTCTAAAATATGTTTAAACTTGATATCAAATAAGGAGCGATTCTTCCCAGACTGTAAAAAAAAAAAAAAAAAACAGAGGCAACTATAGCGCTGCAATGTGACCTCCCATCGTCTTGATTGTATTTTTTAATTTTTAAAATTTTTTTTTTGCCATTTTTGCAATAACTCATGAACCGGGAGATGTAGAAGAAAAGTAGTCTTTTTTTGTTAATTCCTTGGATAAATGTGAAATTTTCATTCTTTCATCGCACACATTTCCACTGCACTGCATTTTCATCAAGTCCACACTTCATCACGTCTTTCACACATTCACACTTTGGATTATCCTGGAGAATAACATACAGTTAATAAACCCTGATGTATGGTTTCTTTTTGTTTGTCAGTAATTAAGCACCAAGTTTTAAATTAATTAACCCCCAAAAAGTCCCTGTTCAGATGGTAGAACTTAAGAAACTTTGGGGGATTTGGAGCTCTGGGTGCAACAAATGAAAAATGAAAAATACTTTATTTATTCCAGAAGGGAAATTCAATTGAATTAGAAAAATTTGGAATGGAAATGGAAATTCAAATGATCATTATTATTGACAAAAATCATTGACCAAATGGTTTTCTAACATATTTAACGGTAAATCCCTTCTTGTTACTGATTTCATGTTTTCAAAACTCCCCACACCGTCGACTCACTTACTCTGAATCACTCAAGTTAAATTTTAACTACTGACCTAACTCAGGTGATCCTCTGACTCGCCTACCATCCCTTTTGTCTTCAGGTAAACCAGCTGGCTGCTGCTGTAATCCAGACGGACGGGACACCAGTCGGAAGGTCACAGAGGTCAGTACATATTCACATTGTGAGTTTAAAACTCTGATTTGTCTCCAATAAACAGAAAAGACGCCCACTGCCTGTCTCTTTGTACAACAATCATAGGTTTTTTGAGTTGTTGGCAGCCAAAATAAACTAAATGAACTAAATCAGTGCATCTGAAGACACTTTAAAATCTTTACCAGGTGTTATTTGTTACTATGAAGTGTCATAGTAACCCTTCCATGTAATTTTGCAGTTTTCGCCTGAAGTTAACCGGATTCAGGCAGCAAATAATATAAATGAAGCTCAGCTAAACAAAGAAAACAAAGATGAGATTCTTCAGGTAATAAACAGTTTTATTGTTGTACAGCAGAAGCTGCCAAAAAAAGATACAAAGGGTTTAAGACGTATGAAGAGCTTTTGTTTCATGTGGTGCACCTAAGATTGTTTTTAAGATTTATATTTGACTAATTTTGTGTGATTTTGCATCTATTGTTGGTTTATCTAGTCTTTGTGACGTCCTAAATGTGTATGAGCTTTTTTTTTTTTTTTATTATTCTAAAGTTTAGTAAACATCCTGTAAATATTTGGCTGGAGATAATGGTTAATTACTATGTACACATTTAATAATGAAATGTGACAAACTCTTTATTCTGTCTTTCTTTTAAACCTGAGTGTGTTAAGTTTCTGCAAAACACCAGGTTTTCTATCCACACTCCACATCGTCTATTTTTAAAAAAAATCATGTATCACTACATTTTTATGTCCCAGCTTTTATTTTGAAACAGAAAATTTATGAATGGCTAAAAAACAGAAAGACACGAATTTGTTTTAATTGCAGTCTTTTTGTGTTAGATTCGCGGGAACCTGCGGTAAAATCTGATCTACCTTTTTGCAGGAAGACTTGCTGCATTATTCCAGTCTGAGGCATCCAGACAAGCCCCGCCCCTCCGGCAGGCGAGGACCCGGGTTGGTTGAAGAGAACGTCACTTACTCTGCAGTCATCGGTCGCAAGAATCCAAAGAAGTGATCACATGACCACACATTTTCATTACCTTTTAAGACGATGACACCAACTGCGCTGTGATTTCGCTTACTCCTTACATAACAACAACAACAACAACAACAACAATAATAATAGTTAAGGATGAATACTTAATTTATTTAGCTATTAAATGATTTGCACAAACCTTTAAGCTACTTTTAATGACCACATAGTGCACTCAGATATCATAAAAATCCAATAACAATTATTATATAATTTTTAATTACAAGACAACAGCAGCATTTATAAGCTTCTGATTTCACATTTTGGTTGGTTAGGGGTTCCTAACAACTTAAAGATGAAGATTTATGTGATCACAAGCTTTAGTTTATAAGCAACTTTTGTTTACATGTCAACAAGTTGTTGGCGTGCAGACACCAGGGGGCGCTGCAGGACAGCGGTAGATTTTTAAAGTTGCTGCCTGGGCACTTTAGTGGGGGGAAAAAAGTCTCCTCTTTACCCATAAAATGTAAATAAAGACAGAAGTTCTTAATATTCTCATATCCTGCATTACATTATGTATGTAGGGTGTCTGCAGGCTCATTTAATACAGAAATGATCGTGTAAAACCTGTTTCACCGTCATACTGGACAAAGTATTACAAGATTGATTATTAATGATATAATAAATGAAATTACTTTTAAAAATATCTTTTTAATAAATTAATGTTGGAATGTAGTATTATATCATAAATACATTTATCACATCATGTGTGTTTTTGTTTTTTTGTTTTTTTATACCAATTTTGTAAAAGCTGTGTGATGAATTGCTACCAAAAGCCATCGCACCATTCCAGACGTGTCGATGTTTAATTTGTGTACATTTTCTCAAAGCTGCTATTTGGAGGATTTTTAAACAGAAAAGTGAAACATTTGCTGGTTTTAGCTACAAAAGGTACAGATTGGCTGCTTTCATTTTGATCATATATGATAGAAAACACTGAGTTTCGAACTGATGCACAAGCAAAACAACAAAAAAACTAAATTAGCAGGCAAAGAAATACTTTTCTAAACAAGCACAAGACATTTTATCAACTTCTTATTCAAAAGAAAAGCTTTGTTTGATTTAAGCGACAGATTTGCTGCCAACATGCTGGAGAAAAAAAACTCTGTAAACTATGTGATTGTGGCAGGATGAAGCCTAATTTCTGCACCTAATGTGAGAATGCTATTCAGCCTATCACCGCTTGAGGTCCGCCTCCACTCCTTATAAGGGTGCGGTGCCCATCTTGGTGTCTCTCGCTCTTGACTATGAGACTGCCCACTTCCGGGTCGCCTTGCTCTTGGTTGTCAGGTACCGGCGGCGCTCCACGCAGGTAACGTAGCAGTGGCTGCTTCGCCAGCATCTTGCCTCATTTACATGCTCTATGGTAATTGGTGTTCTTTTATTGTAGCCGCATGTGCCACGGACACCGTGCCGGCACGTTTGGCTCGCGGCTGCCTGTTGGCCAGTGCAATTTGGGTGTCATTTGCTGTTGCCGCTACATAAGAGTGTGTCCCTCTCCTTCAGGTGCTAACTGAACACAGCTGAACGGTAGGTAAACAGTCTGACTTAGTTTTATCTATCTGTTGGTTTATAGGGTTAGGGTTAGGGTTAACTTAGACTTATTGAACAGAGGCTGTGACTGGAAGGTGTGGCTGAATAATGGGACCGCTGCTGCTTTGCCGGGTTAGCGGCGCGCCGCCGCTTTGCCGCCGTTAGCATCGCCGTTAGCATCGCCGTCTCTCTGCGGCTTGCTCTGGGTGGTGTCGCTCTGCTGCTTTGCTCTGCTTGCATCTTTTTACTCTGCTCCACTTTGCCCTCGCCTTGCATGGCAGCATTCTTTGTCTTGCTTTTGTAATATTGTTTTTGTATTATTTTGGTTTGTTGTGTTATATTTTGTTTAAGTTTGCCTTGCTTAGCTTAGCTTTTTTGTTGCTTGGCTTCGCTTCATTTGGTTTGCTGTTTTTGTTTGTTACCTGTGTTTGGCTTAGTGTTGCCTTGTTTAGTTTGTGTGATTTTGTTTTGCTTTGTATTTTGAGTTTGTTTTCGTTATTTTTACATGTGTTTGCAAAGATTAATATTGCTTGAGTTTATTTCTTTTGTTTTGCATGGTTTTCTTGAGTTCTCCTTAGCTTTGCATGGTTTTCCTTAGTTTTCATTTGAATCTGCCTCGTGGGATGTGGGATTTTGGTGATTTAAATTCTATATTTTAAATTCTATCAATGTATTTTAACTATTGTTCGAAAATGAAATCTATTTTTTTATAATGTAGAACCACGTCTCCCCCCAGTGTGTTGCGAACCTGTGTGCTTTGCTGTGTGTGTGAACAAGGAGTAGGTCGGTTCCCTGTGTGAGAACCTTAAACCCAGGTGGCTTTCTCGGTCAACACATTCCCCCTTAGTCCATTATTTAGGCAATCTATTAGTAGCGCCCCCGCACGCCCCGCTCGCCACATAAATAAGACTTTGTTTTTGACATGTCTAAGCTTCTTCATTGCTATTTTGTTGTTTCTTCAACATTAAAAGCAGTAGAATGTTCTTGAAATGATGATCTACTTTACTTCTAACTAGCTGTCATGTACATATGCTGCACAGAAGAATGTAAAATGTCTCTTATGAGCCACACAGCAACAGAAAGTTTATTTTTTACTGTGTATAAATGCTTAATTGTAGCATCAACTGTGTTTGTATGAGTAGCGACAGTTTGTATCCTTTTTCCAATAAACTCATCTGATATCACAAACTGTGTTTTTTAACTTTCGTAACTTCATCGATCAAATCGAAACCTGGCTCTACTGATAGTATGTATTTTTTTGTTGTGTTTTATATTTTGATTTTGTGTCACATTTTTTTTCAAATGTTCATTGTGCGATGCGACACCATCTGGACCTTCAAACGCTGTGTGCACATTTAATAGGCAGGTGTGTATTCTGACCTTATTATTTCTGTGCACATTTACACTACAACACTTTAATCATTTTAAGGTGTATTTGTGGACTAAGAGAGGGTTTGACCAGAATTATTCGCCTCGTTCTTTCTCATTTACTTCCTTTGATATCAATTTGTTAAACTACATTGGTACATGAGAGGAAACAGGACTTAAAATGGCTTGAAGTATGTGAAAATAATGTGAAATAAAAGCTAAAGTCAGATTTCGTGAAACGTCTAAAGGAGCAAAAACCTCAAACTTCACTCTGCTATTAACAGACATGTAGAGGAAGCTGTCAATGACATATTCAAGTTATGAGCTTTTTTTAATCTTCCCAACAATAAAAATGTTTCATGAAATCATTTATACAGAAACCAACAGACAGGAAATGTAGTTTTTACTTTGTGCTGCAGAGTTTTTAAATCTGTTGTCTCTTTAGTCATCTGTAAATACACTTAATATGCTTTTATTTATAGTAACATCCAAATGTGGAGCTTCAAAAACCTTTATCTAAAAAAAAAAGACACAAAAACCCATTTTGCACATATGCGAACTGTATTACAGTTAGATTATTTAGTGTTGCAGATAAACTGTGACACAATATTTTATTTAGTTTTATTTAACTTTGAACTGATTCACAAGAATATATTGACTGATAATCACTTAATATGTCTACATTTTGGATTTTGGATTTCTGGCAATTTTTACACTTTAATTAAACTAGTATAATAAAAATCACACTTTTAAGGATAATTCTATCTGAAACTATCACATTTTTCGAACATTTTATTTGTCAACTGTCTCTGATTTGCCTCACTTTTTATATGGCATAAAATGTGAATATTAATAAAGATATTTGGGAAATTATATCAAACACTGAGACAAAATATTTTCAAAAATTGCCTGTCAACCCACTTTAGGCATATTTTTGGAGTTGAAGGACTTTTTTTAAATGATCTCACAAAGTACTTTATATATTCAGCCACACATACTATTTAAAATATCCATAGTTCATGATGAGTAAGTAAATCACAGATGGTTGAGAAGAACGCCCCTGATTATTTAAAACCCAGTTATGGTGCAGTTTTTGGGTTGACCAGGAATTTTTAAAAACATTTTATCACAGTGTTTGATATATTCAAGATAAAGATTAGTTTAGTTTGTGATGAAGTTGTACGTAAATCAGAGATGGTGGAGCAGATGATTTCAGATGGAATAATCCATAAGGGGGTTTGTGCTGACACAAAAGAGACGATGCACGTGGAGTAAAGCAAGCTGCTGAACAGAGACAAAAACAAACGGAGAAAGTCGGCATGAATGAGGTGGACTCGACGTGTTTCTATCTGGCAGCAGGTCTGGTGATGACAGACGAGTAGATCACGCTGTGGGGGCTCTGATCCGGTGGAGTCCTGCTGGGTCTCTCCCTCCAGTTCTGTCGGCCCAGAGAGGCGTAATGGATGGTCTCCTCCGGCGGGGACGGACTCTCAGTCGCCTCACACTCTGCAGACAGATTTCATTAGATCCCCTGTGAACAGATCTCAGGTTATCGCAGTGTTCGGAGGTCTGAGACGTTACCGGTTTGTCCGCTGGACGTCTTCCACGGCTGCAGCTCCGTGTCTTCATGTCTCAGTGCTGCTGCAGAGGAAACAGCGGAGAGGCGACAATAGTCGTAAATACCACACCATCATCTGCAAACTGGCATAATTGTGTTGAATGTTTCACTGTTATTCCAATAGAAATAACTGTGAACTTTCCATAATTATACATCTGCTGTTTCAGTAACAATAACAATTCTTTACATGTGTTTATTTAAGGATAGTAAATAAGACATCATTCTTTTGCTAATTGTCCAACATAGTCATATGTAAGCATCAGAAAATGCTCTTATATGTTAAAAATGTCACTTTTCAGCAGGTAAAAAAACAAAACAAAACTGCAAACGTTTTCTTTTATAGAATGTTTTCATGATGGCTGTTAGAAGTTTCTATATTTACAATGTATAACAACAAATATCCCTAATATTCTTCATATATATATCTGAGGAATGTAGATGTTAATGGTAAAGTATAGCTAATATGTGCAAAAATAATGAGCAATATAAAACGCTGTTGTGCGTTTTATATTGTATAGAACATTGTGAAGAAAATAAGTTTGTCACATGAATTAATTCTTCATTTTCATTTCATTTAATTTCAGTTTTTAATAAGAGTTTTACATTCCTGAATCAGTGGGGTGTTTCACTTTTAAGCCCCTCTCATTGCCATTTTTTTTCATGCTTAAAAAATTGCGAGAAATTACCAGGAGATGTAAATGACAAAAACTTTAAAGATTATTTAACAAATTCTATGTATTTTATTTTTACCCCTCTTACCACTGTTTTCTTCCTTCTTTAGAAAATTACGAGAAAACAAGTAGCTGATTAAGATAAGCAGTTGCTGAAATGGGCAAAAACAAATCTGTAACAAATACATTTTACAAGAAAACACTGTTGAGAGGACTAAAACAAAAACTGTTGTCACTTCCACTTTCATATTTGTCATCATGAAGTGGGTGGTTTATTTGTGAAATGTCGTCTGTGAGAATCTTTATATTTTCAACCCGTCTTTGTCTGCTTCGCTTTCAACATCCTCTTTTAAGCCGAAAATATACAGGAGAATAAATGTATAACTGTCTTTCAAAACAGATCCACTTCCTTTTAGAGAGTCTGTGGTTTCGCCTTGTTTCATCTGAGATCAGCGTGCACGAGACTTTCATTATGATTTTTATGTCACAAATACATTTTATAAGAGAACATTGGTTAAATGAGTTATGGAATTAATTATTTTCTTAAGTTTTTGCATTTTTAATTTGATTTTTTTTTTGTCTTTTTACTCTTCAGCCATCTCAAACCAATTTTTATATGTTGTTTGTTCTTTTTACATTATTGTAAAGAATTCAAAAAGATGTTAAAGTTAATATCTTATCATTTGTTTCAGTTAAATCTAAAATCTACTGTGTTAAAATGTGCCCAACATAAAAACAATGACACTCATGGTGTTCCATATTTCAGCCCGTTTACCTGCATATTTGCATTTCTTCCTCCTCCTGCACTTCATGCTGGTCAGTAAAACGCAGACGGCCGCCATGAACAGGATCATCAACCCCAAACCCACGATGGCAACCAGCAGCAGAGCTGAGAGCCACAACAGACAGAACATCTGGTCAGCGAACGCACCGACATCTTGACTGAAAATGTGAGTTATGGGAGACGGTGAGTGTTTGTGCTGCAGGTGGAGGCCGACCCACCGTTCTCTGGCCTCTTCTTCTCTTTCTTCTTTGTTTCAACCACATCTGATAGACATGAAACACACATTGTATAAATTCTGTGTTATTTTTTCTTTCCAATCTAGATTCCTTCATGTTTCTGGTCCCCAAAAAATATTTGAATAAAATCAACAGATTTTTAGAATAAAAATCAATTTGAAGTTTTCTCCAAAGTTTTAAAACTTTCTAACAGAAGTGAAAGTTTCTTAACATCCATAATGTCTCATCTTTTCATATGTACTGATTCTATGCAGTGATTTTAAGACGTGGCTGCCAGGTTTGCTTGAAAACTCCAACTTATTTGATCCTTACTGGTGTTCTTTCATTTTGGCTGCCTCTTTGAACACAGACAAAAGTGTGTTTAAAAAAAATCTGCAATCCGGTGTTAAAGAGAAAAAACTGCCACCTGTTTTCATCACAGTAGACGTTGTACTGGTGGATGATGGGATGCTGGTTGGCTCAGGTTGCACTGATAAGTAAAGGAAATGAATTCAAATTTAAATTCCATCAGTCAAGTACAACACAATGATGTTTAAAACTACAACAGCTGCTCAACACGTTCCTTAAAAACAGAACATTTTGTGTGAGTTGATGGTCAAAAGTCATTTTAAATGTCAAATGCACAATCAGATGATGTTTGATATGGTTTTGACACAGTGACCACCAAAAAAAAAGTTACATTTCTTTATGTAAATGCAAGTTTCAAAATTACGACATTTGTAATCTGTAAATAATTATTATGGGCATAGTGAAGGATTTCCAACAAACACAAATGTGTAAAATGCAGAACAATGAATCTAAAACAGGTCAGAATAATAAAACCACAACATTAAGGCTGTTGTAATAAACACTTATCATCAATATTTCAGATTCATTTATGTCACCTCCTGTGTTGTAGCTAAAAGATGACCACATAAGTCATTAATAACCCGCCTGTCAGGACGCCGACTCTGGCCTGCAGGATTCCGTTGCACAGATACTCTCCACTGTCCTCCAGCTGCAGATCCTGGATCTGCAGGGCGTCGTGGGCGAAGCTCAGCCGGCCGCCGTCCGTCTCTGATTTCACTGTCCCGTCCTTGAAGCGGGTAAAGATGACCTCCCGCCTGCCTCCCTCCTTCTGACGGATCCACTTTTGTTTGGGTCTGGAGGAGCCTTTGCAGGGGAGCAGCAGCGTCCGGCCTGCAGACACCGTGAAGTCGTGGCCTGAAGGCGGACGATGGGTATTTGTGAGTGTGATACTGTAGAAGGTGGTTTGCCCTTCAGTATTTATAACTACATCTAAAATACACCTTCATTATATGACTTAGTTCTGTCCGAGTCACTGAAGATTTTCCTTTATTGCATCATCGACTGTTTATAAAAAAATGGACGCAGCCTTCAGGTCTGATAAGTAAAGCAGAATTACTTTAATTGCTTTTAAGTGGAGGGAGACTCTTCTGTTGGCAAAGATAAGTCCTAAGTCTAACTAAGTAAGTAACTCAGTAAGTCTAAGGCAAGTCTGTTCAATCCGTTAACATTTTTCTTATGAGTTTAGGGTCTCGGTCACTGGTTTTAAGTCTCTTTCAAAACAGCAGGATGTTAATTTTGTAACTTTTGATCTCAGTTAGAGGGAATTACATGATAAAGCAGCTTATGCTACCGTACCACTGTGCGTAGCATCCTTACTCCTCACATCCAGTTTTAAAAACACAGGATGGTGACAGTCAAACTCAAAACTCTAAACTTTGAAGCAGTGGTCTACAAACCATTGGGTGCCATCACGGTGGCTACATCGTTCGTCTACGGTGCCCATTAAAAGCATTCACACCTCTTGCAAGTTTTGCTTTATTCCTTTATTGCTTTAACCTTGAATAATGGTCAGTCTAATTTGGCTTTTTGACAGGAATTTAAGAGGTTTGACATTTTTAATTAAATGACATTCCTCAGTAGAAATATGTTCTCACTTTGACACCAAAGAGTCTATATTTGTGAGGTTTTTTTTGTTTTTTTTTTGCTATAGTTCAACTGGTTGAGCTGGCGACACATGTACAGAGGCTACAGTCCCCGAAGCAGCGGCCATGGGTCGAATCCCACTCATGGCCCTTTGCTGCAGGTCCTTCCCCGTTCTTCTCCCCCACTTTCCTGTCTCTCTCTCAACTGTTCTATATAATAAAGGCCAAAAACATAACTTAAAAAAAAAAAAAGCCAAATTAAATTGGCCATGAGGAGAGAACTTTCAAGGGGGAAGAATGCTTTTTACAGTGATTGTATATTCAGTGTGTGGGCTCAAGGAACGCAACTAAGTTTATTTAAGCTGCAGCTCTTGCCCACCACTGCTTTTTCCAAAAAACAACCTTGACCTCGATGTCACAGATGTAATCAGAAGTGCCTGCTGACGTTCTCACTTCAGTATAAAAATGACTTTGCAGTTTCCAAGAACTGTGTCGCCACTTCTATTTTGATATTTCGTCATCCTGATGTGGGTGGTTTATGT